GATTCAATGGCGTTTATTAAAATCAGGCTAGTCCGACTATTTACAGCACTTGCCGTGAAAAGTCTGATCTTGACTCCGGGGGTTAAAAGAACTCCAAATCTCCTACAGTTGTAATAACCCCGAAAGTTGTCCAAAAGCTCCTTACACTGTGATGGACTTCTTACAACTGCATAAACGTGCTTAGGAAAAGAATAATCTAATGCATGCCTTCTGACGTAAAGGAAATAAAACTGAATAAAGCTTTGTACGCCTAGCCAAAAAACGGATATACGATGATCATGCAAAAAAATAAACAATGCTACAATCACGAAAGAAAAAACAGTCCTTGAATGTAACTAATTAAAATGTCATATCTCGCGGATAACGTGACATCCCTATACGTGTGGACGTTGCATTAATAAATACTATGTTTCCTCTATATAGTTGGATAAAAGTATTGAAGACCATTGGAATTGTAACCCTGTTAAGGAAGAATCTAGATAACGTCAGAGGGAGTTAGATCAAAATCAAGTACGGGACGGAAGAACTAAATAATTTTGGGATGGACAGGAAGCTCTTTTTTGTTTTAATATCTGAAATATCTTTGGGCTAACTTATAATCGAGATTAAAATATCAGCAACTTAACGATGAATTGCCTGCCTTCTTACGATGATTTCAAATGTCCGTTCCGTGACTTAAAGCGGGACAATTTTGGGAGGTCTTAGGCGCCTGAGTCTTTGACTTGCGGGAGGAATGGTCTTGTCAGTACACTGAACAAAGTTCAAGTTTTCTTTCTTTGTTATGAAACCCTATGAGAACAACAGCTTCACTAGACAAATAATCCTCAATATTGAAGGGCCAGTCAAAAGATTTGTTTCAGTTCAAATAAAAAGACCCAAGTAGAACTTCGATTCAGGAAGAATTCATGCAAGAGACAGGAGATAAGAATAAACATGGCTCATGAAGGTTTGTTTTCCCCCAAAGATTTCTGTGAGGACAGTTTTCAAGTTTGTTAATAATTAATAAACAAATAAAATATTTTTATTAGAGCTCAAAAACTTAAAAAATTAAAACCCTTCAAACCTGTCATACCAACCACGATATCACGTATTCTACAGACTACCATCAACGACTCACTTTAGAAAGCTACTCAAGTAACTTATATTAGAACAAACGCCACTGAATCGTAGTCAACAGTTACCGGCACCGTACAAAGGACTTATTAACGCACTCAAGCAAAACTAACAACGAGAGAATGATAAGACAACCGACAAACTGACTAACAATAAACGACTGTTTTACTGTGACAATGACGATTCAAAACGCACAAATAACATTACGAGTCTTTATAGCCAATTACATCACCGCCATCAACTGGCGTGATAAAACTCACTTTGGCTCTGAAGATGACTATTGCACAGGTTGTCAAAACGTGAGTCACTGTCAACAACAGTCTTATTCAGGAAGGACTACGTTCACGTAGAAGATCATACTCAGCCAATTTATGTAATAATAATAACAATAATAATAACAATAATAATATGCTAGTTGCTATAGTTGCTATCTTCCAGTAAAGCCAGTTTATAGTTTAAAAACATTCTTATTCATCCACGAACATCTTTCAGGATTCGTTCATTAAACATTTACTAGTCCTTTTCATATTTAAGTGACTTTGAAAGTCTTGCTTTTGGACAAGCCCGAGAAAACTACAAATTCAAGAAAATCTCTCGGATTAAGGGAGAAAGCCAGCGATAACAAATTACACAATAACGCAAAATACTATCAGAAAAAAAATGTATGTTAGCTTGCATGATTAATAGGATAGACATCATTCGTACCTCTGATGGCTCTGTACGTTGCATTAAACAAAATTTAAAAAAAATTAAAACCCTTCAAACCAGTCATACCAACCACGATATCACGTATTCTACAGACTACCATCAACGACTCACTTTAGAAAGCTACTTAAGTAACTTAGAACAAACGCCACTGAATCGTAGTCAACAGTTATCGGCACCGTACAAAGGACTTATTGACGGAGTCAAGCAAAACTAACTGCGAGAGAATGATAAGACAACCCACAAAATTGACTAACAATAAACGACTGTTTTACTGTGACCATAGACGGATCATAGCGTACCAATAACATTACGAGTCTTAATAGCCAATAACATCACCGCCATCAACTGGCGTGATAAAACTCACTTTGGCTGTGAAGATGACTACTGCACAGCGGGTTGTCAAAACGTGAGTCACTGTCAACAAAAGTCTATATTCAGGCAGGAATACGTTCAAGTAGAAGATCATGCTCAGCCAACTTATGTAATAATGGTTATAATAATGATAATAATAATAATAATAATAATAATAATAATTGTAATAATGACAATAATAATAATAATATGCTAGCTGCTATAATTGCTAGCTTGCAGTAAAGCCAGTTAATAGTTTAAAAATATTCTTATTCATCCACGAAACATCTTTCAGTATTCGTTTATTAAACATTTACTAGTCCTTTTCATATCCAAGTTAATTTGAAAGTCTTGCTTTTGGACAAGCCCCGAGAAAACTACAAATATAGGAAAACCTCTCGGATTAAGGGAGAAAGCCAGCGATAACAAATTACACAAATAATGCAAAATACTATCAGAAAAAAAATGTATGTTAACTTGCTTGATTAATAGGATAGACATTATTCGTACCTCTGATGGCTCTGTACGTTGCATTAAACCCTGAATAGTGATTGCTTAGAGACGTAAATATGACTTGAATGGAATTCCCCACCGAGTACACTGGAGGAGGAAGAGACTGACCGCAAAACCTGATTGAATAATAATTGTTATTTGTAGCAAAGTTTGTGATTGTAACACGTGCCCGTGGAGCATAGCAGGAACTGTAGTGACCTGGTTCCAACTGAAAGTAGTGGAAAGTAAGTTCTATGATGTACCCGTTGCTAACTGTAATATTCCATGCAAATCTGCTGTATTGAGGATAGTTGTTTGGAAAATTGGGGCTTGCAATGAATCCAGCTAATCCATGAAGATTTGTTCCAGAGGCACAACCTGCAACAGCAGCTAAATATTATTTGACTTTCAAGTGCGAATTCAAAGAGTAATTTGTGTCTGAACCTAAAACAGTACAGTTCAAATGAAACTAAAAAGAAGAAAAACATTGAAACAAACAAACAAGCAAACAAAATACCACTTGAAATATCAATTGAAAACAATGTTTCAGAAGATTGCAGATATATAGATAAAACAAATTTCAAAGTAATTTTGCTACCAACCATTTTAAGCAGATCATACCACCAACAACTCAGTGAACAATTTATTGGCATTTGTGTGTCGATTTAGTAATTAAACAACGTTTTTGACTGTAAAAGTTGCCTTAAGTCTAAACTAGGGCAATACTAATATATGTTCCTTGCATATGGAAGTTCATAACTTGATCACCTGCACAAGCACCATCCTCCTGGAGTTGCAAACTTACCAGCAGTTACCGCATCATATTTCACTTTCATGTAAGTTGCTTTAAATCCACGGTACCTAGAGGAAGTGCGACTATCAGAAACAAACGTGACTCTCAGGACATCTTTTGTCGAATAGTATACTATCCCACGGTCATTATAGTATCTACATCTCCGCCTGCCTGAAATGCCATCAGAGGATAAACCGTTTTGTATTTGCAGATAGTCACACGTGCAAGATGAACCACACTCCAGAATATGTATCTCTTCAATGACCAACACAATGCGTTCTCCTTTACTTGCTGTAATTTTCCAACTACAATTCTGACTGAAAGGATACGTCCTTGGATAGTAAGGACTAGTTAGAACTCCTGATGTCTCATTCAGAGTTGCCATATTGGGACACGCTACAAGCAATATAAATGAACTGAACATAAGTATTCAGGATCATTAGAATTAAAAGCCTTTTAAGGAAAAAAAATAAGGAAACGTAAGAAGGAATTAGATCAAAACCACTTGCGGGACGGTAGGACTAAATACTTTTGGGATACGCCTGAGGCTCTTTATTTATTTGGAAAATCTTAGGGCTGACTATTAATCGAGACTGAAATGTCAGCAAGTCAACTAAGAATTGGGCAAATTTGTTTTCATACGCTGCGCGTGGAGGTGGAATTTTTTTAATCCGCAAAGAAAAATGTGCGATTTCAAAACTATCCCTATACGTGTGGACGTTGCATTAATAAATACTATGTTTCCTCTATATAGCTGGATACAAGTATTGAAGACCATTGGAATTGTACCCCTGTTAAGGAAGAATCTAGGTAACGTCAGAAGGAGTTAGATCAAAATCAAGTGCGGGACGGAAGAACTAAATAATTTGGGGATCGACCGGCAGCTCTCTTTGTTTTAATATCTGAAATATCTTTGGGTTGACTTATAATCGAGATTAAAATATCAGCAACTTAACGATGAATTGACTGCCTTCTTACGATGATTTCAAATGTCCGTTCCGTGACTTAAAGCGGGACAATTTTGGTAGGTCTTAGGCGCCTGAGCCTTCACTTGCGGGAGGAATGGTCTTGTCAGTACGCTGAACAAAGTTCAAGTTTTCTTTCTTTGTTATGAAACCCTATGAGAACAACAGCTTCACTAGACAAATAATCCTCAACATTGAAGGGCCAGCCAAAAGATTTGTTTCAGTTCAAATAAAAAGACCCATGTAGAACTTCGATTCAGGAAGAATTCATGCAAGAGACAGGAGATAAGAACAAACATGGCTCATGAAGGTTTGTTTTCCAACAAAGATTTCTGTGAGGACAGTTTTCAAGTTTGTTAATAATTATTATTATTCATTCAAAATATTTCCCCGATTCTGATTGGCTAAAAGCACACGTTTAATTCACCATAACCAGTTACTGATGACCAAATTTGGAAGAATTTTGACTTTAACGAGGAAATGACGTCAAAAATGCAGCGTTTTCGCAGGTTAAGGCACCGTTAACCGAGAAGACCTAGAGACGAGCTTGTGTTATTTTTGGCAGACAAACATCAGAAATGGCTGTGAGTAGGTTTACAAGTTTGAGCGAAGAAAATGACACTCAGTTACTTAACTAGAATTACGTGTATCGCAGAACCTCGCGAAGCTCGGGGGGAGCCCATAAGGGGTGGGAGGACAGGAGAGAAATGAAGTAAATCATGTAACTGGGGAGGGTGGATCTAATATTGGAAGCTGAGATGTACTTAATCTCCTGTGGATTAAATTTGAACCTGGTGCTCTGGCTTTAAAAAGGATCCTCTGAGATGTAAATGGGGTTGCTGTTGTTAGCGAATGTTGCATAGGTCCTATCCCCCATGTTCACTCCATTTGACCCTCCTAAATATGTATCAGTATGGTCAAAAGGAAATGGGGGTGATAGTGGATAACTGCCGGCTAGTATTCAGTTGCATTTGCTTAATAAAAGCTCACCCTTAAGTGCAATAATTATTTGTGAAATGTGCCAGTGGAAGTGAGTGGATGGCAATTCTAGGAGATAATGCTGCAGTGAAAACAACAACTAAATGCTGCTAATTGGAGAAAAAATTTATTGTTTGGCGAACTACAGCTATAAAAGTGTTTGCACTTTTTTTGGTACATAATCACACTTGACAACTATTGTTTGTAACAGTAAAGTGCAAACATAATCACTGAAATAGAAAATTACAAGTAGCAATGTCATTAAGGATGCAGTTCATGAGAATTACTAAAGTGATCATGATTTATGATTATTGTATGTATGGGCATTCACCCTTAAAGAACTGAATCCTTGTAAAAAGTACCAATTTTTTAGCAGTTAGGCAAGTTTTCATAGTTATTCGTGTACATGCATAAGAAACAAATCCCTATGCAAGAGTGAATCTGGATGAAATGTCCACAAACAAGTTATGTTGAAGGTCATCAGTTTCTCCATTGGTCTCAATTCTAAACATGCATGAGCTTGTTGAGACGGTGCCAGAGCCATAGATTTTTAATTTCCCAGACTGAGACGAGGCAAATGAACACCTACCCTGTATTACACACATTTCTGGTGAATGTAAAGCTAAGTGTAGGATGGATTGATCTTATGGAAAACCCTACATAAATATAGATCTGCTTGCATGTCGTTTAATTTCTTGAAACAATCTTCTTCTGCCAATGGAACAAATGTTTTATTTCTGTGAATATGTCACCTCTGTCTGACTTCTTTGAAAGAGTGAAATTTTATGAGTGACCTGTTAAATTTTCCTTAACAGCGAAAGGAATTAAGTTCCTGGCATGACAACCATGTCACACACTAATATTCTGAGGATATCCGAAATACTATGTTATTTTCGAATAATATAGGAACAAAAATACAGGGGGCCAGCAACAACAATTTTTTGTCATGTCTGACTTAAAAGACACAGCTGGGTTTATGTATAAGGCTGCTATACATACATTTATTTAACTTGTGAAGGAAATTGAATGAAAATTGTAAGCTTAAACGAAAAATTTTGCCCAGTAAGGATTTTGTTTACAAAATGTAACGCTTCCCTACATGTCACACATTATCGGCGTTGTAAACTGTTCATTGTAAAATAAAGCTTACTGTAAAACTGTGAAAAGGCTGATCGGCTGTCCTCAGTCCGTTGCAAAGATACTCCTCGTGTCGATTTTACAGATGGTGTAATTCTTGCTTCCTATCGACGCATCGAAGAAGATAATTTTGACTGTAAACTTGCCTCTCCTTGCGAATTCTTTTGACCGAATACTAAAACGTCGGCAGTCGGTGTTCCCTCTCTTCGTCGGTTTCTTTTGCAGTGTAACTGTAGTATTTTGTTGCTAACTCTAGCGAACTCTTTACATATTCGTGGTCGCTGTATAACCTCTGTCTCCAGTTGACAGTGTTTGTCTTCGATGTGTCGTTACTCGCGCTGAATTTAAAGTCGACGTCCTCGCTCTTGCGGAGTTTTGTTTGTAAATCTTTGCCAAGCGAGGATTTCCAGCCACTTGTTGAATCCACCGTTGCTGAGTTTGCTGTTCTGTTTTATTTACCTGAGATATTGGGTGGTGACTCACCGACCGTAAACATTGTTATAATTCACAGATGAAACAAGACGCTGTGTGAGCGTATATTTGGGCGTGGTGGGACTAAGGGTATGATACTTTGAACATGCCTTATTGCAGCTAAAGAACTGTCATCATATCTTACCAGAGAAGGCAAATCCTTCACTCCGCTTGTTTGCTGAACCACACAGCTTATACAGTATGTCCCAATCCACAACAAAAATAATGTCATTTCACGACAATGTTTGAAAATATGCACATCTTCAATGCAGACATGCTTGGAGCCAAATTGCAACATAGGACATAAGTGGTTACGGCCCAGAGAGTAAGGTTTATCTCAGCTCCACTGATACTGACAGATGTGTTTTCACACCCATCACTTTGTACAGTGTATTCCGGTTACTAACAAGGGCAAATAAAGTCCCTTAAGTCCAGTATCCACAAGGATTAATAAGAGAGTAACACATTGCATAAACTGCTATAGGGTAGCACTGTTTACAGGAACATTGGTAACTATTAACATTTGATATACTACAATTTTCAACATTGCTTGAGAAAAGATGAGGTTCAAAGGTGGCAATATGTACACCTTTAAGTTCAAATATATCCTCATTCCTATGTAGAGTCTGAAAGTATTGTACTAATTTATGCATGGATGGTATTTCCAACAATACACATGTCCCTTCACTATGACTGTTATGATACATATCTCTAGCATGAGAATCAAATACATTATATCCCCCAGCCTCAGTGCTGTAGATACCAACACCAATAATTGCCACCGTTAAAATGAATGAGTTGTAGTTCAGTGCCAAGAGTGTTTCGAATGCTGTAACCTGTGGGTTGCATATACAGTAGTGATGGATGTCACAAGTATAACTGTCACTGCATGTATTCAAGGTGGAAAAATTGCTCAAACACTGTAACCATTCCTGGCAATTCTGTTAACATTAACATAGATTGTCTTGCAAGCAGTGACAGACTAGAATATAATTGAATACCAACAATCATTTCTTGAGTCATATCATCAACTGAAGTACTCTTTGTTATATTACTATAAATTAAAGCGCACAGACTCATTGCGACACATCGTTGTCCACCATTTTCCCCAAATCCTGTAACATTTCCTTGACAGTAAGGAGCATTAATTGTTTTTGTAGCATCTACATAAACTGAAGGTCCTGGATTCTTCTCTATATCAGTACAAAGCTTAAATTGGCCAAAATTAACCCGGTGATTCAAACTGTTTTAAGCACTATAAAATGGATAATTACTTGTACAGAGGAGCAAATTCTTACTTAGAAGCCTATTTGGATATCTCATTCCACCTAAATCGCCTGTGCTCTGATGCTTAGACGACAGATACACCTTCCCTCGTTTACGAACTAGTTTTGGAGTTGCCCCTTAAGTAAACACCTCACACTGTTACAGTTTAACTTCTGTACCTGTTTAAGTGTAAACCGTTTCTATTTTTAACGTAACAATGAGTTTCAGACGACAATGGTGTATTTTTCCGAATACTCTTCCATACAACAAGTGTCACTTTCCGTGTTTTCTGTAACAAAGATTTTAATTTGCTCATCGGTAGTCTGCTAGGGGCATGACGGTAACCGGTTATTTCGTTCCATGGTCAGATCGTTGACATAAATAGTCAGTTCGTGCCACAAAAAGACAGTTCGTTCCACATATGAAAAGTCAAGTAAATCTTTCTTAATTTGTTGAGTGAACTTTATCGAGAAGAAAAACGTTTCGTTCATACCACAAGCTGATAAAATAATAATCGATCCAAAGTCGATTCGAGCCATCCTAAATCGTTTGAAAGCAAACAAGAGACGATTTCAACCAGCCACGGGCTTTAACATTTAAACCGCTGCTTTGAGAGTTTATGAGCTAGAATCGATCGATAGTTTTGAAAGATATATCACAACAAGTAGAAGCTATGCCGTTCTGAAGGTCGTAGTTACTAAAACAAGGAATGACCTACAATGACCTACAATGACCTACAATGATCTACAATGACCTACAATGACCTACAATGACCTACAATGGCCTACAATGAGCTACTATGACCGAACGTGTAATCCCTGTAATGAACTAAAATGAAGATTTTAGAAAAAGGCAAAAAAAAAGATCAGGGGACGTGTGTCGTAGTTACTAAAACAAGGAATAACCTACAACGACCTACAATGACCTACAATGATCTACGATGAGCTACTACGATCTACAATGAGCCACTACGAGCTAAAATGAGTTAAAATAAGCCCTACACTGAGCTACAAAATGACAGTCAATGACGTTTGTCGTGTGTCACACTTGGATGACACTAGGCTCAGGGTGTTAAATTGCCAAGCACAGTTTGAAAAGGCAAAACAAAAATTGTGCCTGATCTCAGGTAACTTGAGAAACTTGAAAATAGATTATTGCAATCGCGTTTTTACCGGTATAGCACTATTATACCCTGTATTGACGGAAGTTATGCAGGCACTTCCTCATTTGGCCTAGATGGGTATGGGCAGCTGAGCAGGATATGGATTTTACTATTTAGCGTTACAAACAGAGCATCCCGTTGGAACGGAAGCCATTTAAAGGGTCTTATGATGTCTTATACAGGCCAGGGTACTTAAAAAAAAATGAACAATTTTTCTTTTGAACAGGGTCAGAATTTGAAGGTCTCCTTTGTTCACCTCTACCCTTACGTCCCTTGAAGATCCCCCCGGATCGACTGTTGGGGTGACTGTGTTTGTTCAATTTGTTTGGAAAAAAGACAAGACAAAATAAAACTAATGCGAAAGGTTGCAAGGGATGGTTTGGACAAAAGTCACAGTATCATCATACATGTATTATTACACTGTAAAGTTATCTCCAAGCGTAATAATTAGACATGCTGTCATCGTTAAATGGGCTGTCATGCAGTAGACTAAACGCATTACGTTTACGCACACGTCCCCTGATCTTTTTTTTTTTTGTCTTGTTCTAAAATCTTCATCTTAACTCATTACAGGGATTACACGTTCGGTCATAGTAGCTCATTGTAGGTCATTGTAGATCATTGTAGGTCATTGTAGGTCATTGTAGATCATTGTAGGTCATTGTAGATCATTGTAGATCACTGTAGGTCATTGTAGGTCATTGTAGATCATTGTAGGTCATTGTAGGTCATTGTAGGTCATTCCTTGTTTTAGTAACTACGTTCTGAAGGTACAGTATTTCGAAGCGCTTGTAACCTAAATATTTCTTTGCAGCGCCCGATTTGTGCAAATTTTGAAAACAACAACGCGAGTTTCGAATTACAATCTCGATTTTATGGTAATTTGTCATGCCGAAAATATAATTGACTAACCTGATTTAAACCAATGAAATTGTAAGTTCTGTTATAAATAAATTTCCCACGACGAGATCTCAATTCAGCTTCTTTTAATTCCTCCACAACACAGTTTTCCTTCTGTACAACTAGCTCATTACCTTCTCTTGTCGTCACCTCGCTGCCATCAAAACACTCCACACAAAACTTGCTGATAATGCAAAATCTCGAAGCACAGCATCGTACATGTACCGCGTCACAACATACTCAATTAGATGAAAAAACACAACACGCAATACAAAAAAAGTTCATTAACCGTCACCCTGCTAAACAAAATTGAAATAATAACTATAATTGTTGCAGTTATCACCGTAGCTCCAAAAGAAGTCTCAGTCCCTTTTGGGGAATCGTCTCTTCCTTCATCGGAACAGATTTTTATCACAGACAACTCGCCGTGTTCCGCAATGCAAAAATCAAAATCACTATTGTCACACTGATAACCAGCTACACAAATCTTGCGACTCTCAAACTTGTTCAATTAACATTCCTCTGTTCAAACTCTTATCCATTTTACACGTACACTCCTGATATTCCGATTTGTTATTACGTCTATGGGGTCCATGAGTCTTTGATGTCATTGAATGTCTTGATAATTTCCTTTGTTTTTCTTTGAGTTCGCGAACCAGCCCATTCCGAAAACACTCAGGGTTATATTTTAGTGTGGACCTACCGCGAACAGTGTGTGCATTTGTAAGTTTAACCCGGGATAACATGATTGAACAACATATTAACACGTTCCTCGAAACGCCGCGGCCAAATGTTATCCAAACTGCTTCTCACTGCTGCTTCGAAAAATTTCGGATCAAACGATATCCAAATCGTCCCTCATTGGATTATCCACTCGACCTAACAAAATCGACCAATCACAAAATAAAGAAAAGAAAATGGACATAAAATAAAGAGAACAGCAAATTCAGATGACCTCTTAGGAAACATGCAATTAAAAGTGTCTTTCTATGATTGGTGCATTTCGATCCTCTCGTCAAAAAAATGTCAGACGTCATCATCTTAGCGGACCTCTTAGGAAAGGAAAGTTTTCTTCAACGGGTCCAAAAGGTCATTGTTTATGATTTGTGATTGGTGGATTTCGATCCGTTTTTTAGTTTCTGAGTTTCAAGGTTCGTTGCTTGTGATCTTATTGTGACCAAAACCCGACGTTAATATTCCAAATATTTTTGATAGATTTCATCCCTGGACTTCAGACTTCCAAATTTCGATGAGGCAAAAATACTGAAGATTCAAATTAACTTTTGAGATCGTAAAAGAGCGATTAAGTGCCGTGTGCTAGCAGAGCTTTCTTTCCCATTTGCCTCTTACCTTGTACAAGACGTTCGCGTGGCAGAAATTCGCCTCGCGTCGCTTGTTTACTTGCCTTGTTTACGTTAGCACGTATTGCGTGCCTATTGCACATTTGCGTCAAAACAAGCCGTTTCCATTACTCTATTTGGGCCACGCCCAAATAAAAACCCGTCTTCAAGAAGAAACCCCAGAGCTTTGTGGTCGATGGCAATCGGTTGCCTGGAAACCCATAGTGCACTTTGACGTCACTACTGGATGACGTCAAGGCGAACACCAACCAAACTCGATAGATTTATAGCCAAAAGGAAATCACGCTGGCCTTTCGATGCTTGAGTGACACACGCGCGCTTCGCGCGCGACGAGATTATAAACCTCGCGGCTCGGCGCTTCGCGAGGAATGATAAAGACAGTGAGAATACCAAAAAGTTGACGAAACATCATCGCTTAATTTTTGAGTCGTACCTCAAGGAGAAAAACATCAGAAATCCTTCAACTGCAGTGGAGTTAGCGGCAGTTTTACGAACGTTTTACGCCGAGGCGAGAAAGAAAGATGGACAGATGTACTCAAAGAACTCCCTCTGTTCCACCAGATTTGCTTTGTGTAGACACTTCAAACAAGAACTAAATATAGACATTATAAAGGATACGGAATTTAACGAAGCCAACCGAATTTATGAAGCACAGTGCGTAGAGCTGAAGAAGCAAGGACTAGCGAGAACTGAACACAAAACTCCGATTGCTGACGAAGACATGATGAAATTGTATCGATACGGTGTCTTCAATACTGAAAACCCTACCACTCTTCAAAACAAGGTTTTCTTTGAAATAATGTTATTTTTCTGTCGGCGTGGTCGGCAAAATCTTCGCCAGCTTAAAAAGACTGACTTCGAAATAAAAGTCAGCTCGCAAGGAAAACGCTGTGTTGTGAAAACAACTGATGAACTAACAAAAAATCACAGAGCACACGACGTTCAAGCTGAAGAAGGAGGAATGATGATGGCAAACGATGGTCCTTTTTGCCCGGTCTCATCCTTTGAAAAATATTTCAGTGTCTTGAATCCAATGAATGAGTACCTTTTTCAGCGACCAAAAAAGTCAGCTGGTGAAGGAGAAGTTTGGTATGACAACATGGTTTTCGGCGAGAACACTCTCGGCAAGAAGATGAAAGTCATTTCACACCAAGCGGAGTTGTCAACAATATACACAAATCATTCAATCAGAGCGACGACCATAACTATACTCGACAGAAGTGGATTTGAAGCGCGACACATCATGTCGGTAAGCGGACACAGAAACGAAAGCAGCATAAAAACCTACAGCAAAACCGATACAAACACAAAAACAAATTATGGCGGGCAGCCTTATGGCTGTAATTGACAACAACAAAAACAATGTCGTGGCTTCTGAAGTAGGCGAAAATGATCGAAATGAGGAACTTGGACTGCTAACAAATTCCCAAGAAGAATTCATTTTACGATATCTGAACGTTCAAACTCACAACCATTGCAACCAAAGCACAAAGCAGTTTAATTTCTACAACTGCACAGTAACAGTTCTGTAAACATTGCATTAAATTATCGTAAACAGGTTTGATTTTTGAAACCTCGATGTCTGTTGAAATTTCTGACGGAGAGATTTAATTTATACATTTCATCAAAATTAATGAATTCGGCTTTCGTAGGATATGAAGAATTAAGCGGATCTCGGAAGGGTGTTATCCACCTGGGCCTACGGCCTCGGTGGATAACACCTTCCTCGATCCGCTTAATTCTTCATATCCTACTCAGCCTCATTCATTAATTGCTAAATAAACAAATAAAATATCTTTATTAGAGCTCAAAAACTTAAAAAATTAAAACCCTTCAAACCTGTCATACCAACAACGATATCACGTATTCTACAGACTACTATCAACGACTCACTTTAGAAAGCTACTTAAGTAACTTGAAACAAACGCCACTGAGGCAGAGGCACCTCTGAAACTATTGCTCGTATATTACAACCTTACAATATACGTGTTGCGCACAAACCGATAACCACTTTACGGCGACTGCTTACTAATGTCAAGGACAAAGACAAACCGGAGGACAGACAGGGAGCAGTATACAAGATCAAATGCTGCGACTGCCAGGCTTCTTACATTGGTGAGACCGGCAGAAACCTAAGCACACGACTGACCGAACACAAACGTGCGACGAGGAATGGTGACGTCAACAATCACATTGCTGAGCACCATTTAAAGACGAAACATCAAATTGACTGGGACTCTGCGACATGTGTAACGTATTCTACAGTCTACTATCAACGTCTCACTTTAGAAAGCTGGTTTACTAACTTAGAACAAACGCCACTGAATCGTAGCCAACAGTTACCAGCGCCGTACAAACGACTTATTGACGAGATCAAGCAAAACTAACTAGGAGAGAACAACTGGAGAACTGACAATTTGACTAACAATAGACGACTGTTTAACTGTGACAAAAGACGGATCGAAACGCACCAATCACTGATTACGAGTCTTCATAGCCAATAACATCACGGCTTAACTGACAGACGACCAATAACATCGCGACATAATTGACCAATCAGATCAATAACCAGAGTATAATACCATCAACTGACGTGATACAACTCACTTTGACTCTGAAGATGACTACCGCACAGGTTGTCGAAACGTCAGTCACTCTCAACAACAACAGTCCTATTCAGGACTACGTTCACCCGGACGATCAAACTCAACCTTTTGAAATGACTCCTGGGTTCAAACCTTTCACAATAATAATAATAATAGTAAAAATGATACTAATGATATGCTAGTTCCTAGCTTGCACTAAAGCCATTTCTATAGTTCAAAAATATTCTTCTTCATGCACGAAACATCTTTCAGGATTCGTTTATTAAACATTTACTAGTCCTTTTCATATCTAAGTGAATTTGAAAGTGCTGATTTTTGGACAAGCCCGAGAAAACTACAGTTACAAGAACACCTCTCGGATTAAGGGAGAAAGCCAGCAATAATAAATTACACAAATAACGCAAAATACTGTCAGAAAAAAAATGTATTTTAACTTGCATGATTAATAGGATTGACATCATTCGTGCTTCTGATGGCTCTGAACGTTGCATTAGACCCTGAATACTGCTTGCTTAGAGACGTGAATATGACTTGGACGGAATTTCCCACCGAGTACACTGGAGAAGGAAGAGACTGACCGCAAAGAATGATTGGATAATTAACAATTATTGGACGAGGTTATGCAAAATATTTGTCTGTGGCGAGCAGATCAATAATTGATCTGCGAGACATTGACAAATCACGATATTTTGCGATAACCGAGTTCAATAATTGTTGTATCATTCGATCACCGAGTTTGTTTTTTAATGAATATCTTCGGGAAGCGAAGCGATCTGCCATTTTCACACAAGAGCGATGGCAAGAAGGAGAAAAGCTCGGTTTCCCTTACACATGTGCAAAATATTATTTGCAGCCAAACACAGTTGGATGGCATTGCGCTTGAGAAGACCATTATTTGTAGGCAGTTATTTGGAGGTCACGTGGTGGGCTGTCGGCCAATGAAAAGAAAGAAAAATTTGCTTCGAATGATAATAATTGTTATTTGTAGCAACCAGAGAAACCTCTATTCAGGGGACTCCCTCAGGGCCAAGGCAGACCTAAAAACATGTTTTAGTTTAAGATTAAGAGCTATTGTGTCAAGTTATGTAATAAAACTTGTGGCACAACGCGATTCAGAATAGAAGGATTCGACTTAAATTTGCATATTGGTGCTGAATTCGCATTGCGTGACACCGGCTGCTGTGGTACTGCATTAAGGAGGCTCGATACAGTTTGTCGGGGCCCATACGTCCCAAGTTTGAGCATAAACTACGTCGTCATAAACAAAGGTTTGGAAAAATTGCCACAACAGTTGTATTAGATAAAGATGAAAATTTGTTATGATTAGGGTTGCAACGACATCGGAGTTGTCATGGCAACGAAATTACGCTATTACCTATTTTACTTGCAGCACTGGGAACTGTTCTTCGAAAATCATTTACAGGAACTTCTTCCACCAATAGCAGCCCCGATGTTCGTGAAGTTTAAGCGAAATCTGTAAGAGCGTTATCGAGATATTTTGGGATAAAGTTTTTATTGTTAGAAACACAGTAAAAAAAATGGACAATATTGCTGTTATTGTCATCTTCATCTAATACAACTGTGGTGGCAATTTTTCCAAAACTTTGTTTATGGCGACGTAGTTTATTCTCAAACTTGGGAGGTATTGGCCCTGAAAAACTGTATCGAGCCACCTTAACGTAGAACCATGCTTCTCCTGTCTAGTGACATTTTGCAACGGGAAGGTCCTTCACACATTCACCTTTACACTACCGGGGTATATATATGGGACGAGTGTACAAGGTAGTCGTTGAAGAAAAATTAAGAAAATGTGGACTGGAGTTTAAAGAAGTAAAATCAACAACTAGAACATGGTTATCCTCTATGTTCACGTCTACGCCACAATAAGTATCGTACTTATAAATTCTTATTAAGTAAACTGTCATTTGCCCTTAAAACAGTGAAATCAGATGTGAAATGTATATTGTTTTAAGTTAGTGTCCGGATATCTTTTGTTTTTTTATTGCGTTTGAGGTATGAGAACGGAACCCCTATTTTGTGTTGGGTGTTCTGTGCATTATTGGGTGTCCTGTGCAATTAATAAGGGAGGTTTTTTGAGATTGCATTTTCGTCGTCGACACACATTTGCCTCGCTTTGAGGCGCTTGCTTACGTTTTGCCTTACTTTGACGTGCTGACTCACGTGGTGATTCTTGTGTCCTCGGCATTCATCTTTCAAAGGTTTGCTGAGGTCTGATATTCTGTCTTCGTAAAGCCTTCATCTTTTAAAAAGTTTGCTGAATCTTCGTAAAGCGTACATCGATCTGTGTCTGCTGAATCGTCCAAAACGTTCATCTTTCAGAAGTTTGCTGTTAAATTTTACTTTAGATTAAGCCTTCATATTTTTCTGCATGGTTCGTCACTGTCTTTGGAAAATGTCTGCGACTCCTGGTGCATGCATCAAACCGGGTTTAGTTCGGCGGCCGTTGTACCACAAAATAAATTTACCGAGTTGTGTACCTCGGCGGCCAATGTGTCACAAAGTAAATCTACCGAGTTGTGTAGCTCGGCAACCGTTGTGCCACAAAGTAAATCTACCGAGATGTGAAGCTCGGCGGCGCCATTTGATCATGACTTGTGATATTTTCGGCACCGGACAAACGAACACTTAAACTCTATGTTATTTATTAGGAAAAACTTATAAACCAGCCCATAGTAGCACCACTCTCGAGTCACTGAAATCAACACGCTCGACCAAATTACGGGAAAGTTATTGACGTGAGCCGCACACATTCCATTGAAGGCTTTGACAGGGTTTGTGCGAAATTTGAATTCAGATGTGAAAGCTTTTAAAACAGTAAATTCAATTTAATTCATTTTGTCAACAAGTTGATGATTTAATGCTTTTAAAAATAACAGAGAAAGTTATCCGAAGTAATGTTTTTGAAGAAAGAAAAAGAATCCCGGCTTAAGCACTAATTGGCCTTTGAGCAACTGCGCCCTGTAATCGCGCCAGTAAAACAAAATGTTCTATTTACACGCCCGACGCACTCTGGCCAATGTCTCCTCCGATTACAAGAACTTGACACCAAACCATACGATATCTTTTCAACACCTTCTTCTGAAAAAAAAGCTAAAGTTAATGATATTAC